GTTCATAATAGCCAAAAAGTAGAAACAAGCCAAATGTCCATCAGTTAACGAATGGATAAACAAAGTTTTTTATATCCATATAATGGTATACTGTTTAGGCATTTAAAAATGAAGTTCTAATACATGCTGTAACATGGGTGGACCTTGAAAACATTATGCTAGGTGAAATAAGCCAGACACAAGTATTGTGTGATTCCACTTATACAGTAGCCACATTAGTAGAGACAGAACGTAGAACAGTGGTTGATTAAGGCTGCGGGAAGTATAGGGTGGGGAGTAGCATTTGACTGCTAATCGGTATGAGTTTCATTTTGTGGTGATGGAAATATTGTGACATGATACTGTGGTAATTTTACAAGTCTCTGAACATATAAGAAACCACTGAAGTATAATTAAAATGAATAAATTTTATATGTGAATTATATCTCAATAAAGATGTTAAAAAATATTAGGGATAGATCAGAGGTTCATAACCCAGGCTGTACATTACAGTCAATTTGGAGAGGCTAAAAAAAAAATACCAGGTTCCAGATTCTCACTGTAACCACTGAGATCTGAATATCTGAGGGGTGAGGCATGGCCCTGGGCATTTGTGAAGCCACGATTGAGAGACTCTGCACTGATTGTTTGAGGGAGTAGATTTTAACTTTTCTACCTCTTCAGAACTCACTGAATAGGCATTCACTTTTGTTGTTGTTTTTAATGATATAAGGTTGTATGTCTGAGATAATTTCCCTTAGTTTTTCTTGGAGGCAGAACAGTGGTAGAACTATATGGCCTTATTAGAAACTTTCCCATTTTAGTATTTTATAATTAAATTAATCTTTTGCAAATGTCATTGAAAGGTACAAACGTTTGTTCTAGTAATGCCTGATGCTTTAGTACAACCAGAAACATTCTGTTCATTTAGTTTTCTAATTTTTTCCTATTGGCTTTCTTAAAGTATAATTGACAAATAAAATTATGTGTATTTAAGATATGCAATATGATTATTTGATATATATTTATATAATTAAATAATTACTGTGTTCAAACTAATTACCACATTTGTCACCTCACAGTTGACAATTTTTCTGGTGGTGATAACACTTAAGATCCATTTTCAGCAAATTTCAAGTATGTAATACAGTCATATTGACTATAGTCACTGTGTTGTACATTAGATTCCCAGAATTTCATCTTATAAATGAAAGTTTGTGTACTTTGACCAACGTCTGTTCAATCTGCCCTCTGCACCATGCTTCCCTGTACTACTGGCAGTTACCATTCTATACTTTTTAAAAAAACTTTTATTTTAGGTTTGGGGGTGCATGCGAAGGTTTGTTACATAGGAAAACACATGTCATGGGGGTTTGTTGTACATATTATTTCATCACCTGGGTAATAAGCCCGGTACCCAATAGTTACCTTTCCACTCCTCTGCCTCATCCCATTCGCCCCTCACAAGTAAACCCCAGTGTCTGTTGTTTCCTTCTTTGTGTTCATAAATTCTTATCATTAAGCTGCCACTTATAAGTGAGAACATGTGGCATGTGGTTTTCTGTTCCTACATCACTTTGCTAAGGGTAATAGCCTTCAGCTCCATTCATGTTCCCACAATATACATGATCTCATTCCTTTTTATGGCCACATAATATACCATGGTGTATATGTACCACATTTTCTTTATCCAATCTGTCATTGTTTGGGCATTTAGGTTGATTCCACATCTTCGTTATTGTAAACAGTGCTGCAATGAATATTCACATGCATGTATCTTTATGGTGGAGTGATTTATATTCATCTGGGTATATACAAACTAATGGGATTGCTTGGTTGAATATTTCTGCTTTTAGCTTTTTGAGGAATCTTCATACTGCTTTCCATGATGGTTGAACTAATTTACACTCCCACCAACAGTGTATAAGTGTCCCCTTTTCTCTACAACCTCACAAGCATCTGTCATTTTTTGACTTTTTAGTAATAGCCATTCTGACTGGTGTGAGATGGTATATCGTTGTGGTTTTGATTTGCATTTCTGTAATGATCAATCACCATTATATTCTTTGCTTGTGTGACTTTAGCTTTTTCAGATTCCACATATAAATGAGAGAGTGCAGTGTCTGTCTTCCTGTATCTGGCATATTTCATATAGCATAATATCATCCAGGTTCATCAATGTTGTCACGAATGACAGGGTTTCCTACTTTCTACGACTCTAAAGTATTTCATTATGCAAGTATTACATTTTATATATCTATTCATCTGTTGACGGGTATTTAAGTTGATTCCATGTCTTGGTAATTGTGAATAAAGCTGCAATGATCATGGAAGTGCAGATATCTCTCTGACATATTGATTTCATTTCCTTTGACTATACAGTTATGCACCACTTGATGATGTTTCAGTCAACTATAGACTATAAATATGGTGGTCCCTTAAGATTATAATATGATATTTTTACTGTACCTTTTCTATGTTTAGGTATGTTCAGATACGCAAATACCATTGTGTTACAATTGGTTACACTGTTTGGTACGGTAACATGCTGTAGAGGTTTGGAGCCTAGAAGCAACAGGCTATACTATATCACCTAGGTGTGTATGTAGTATGTTACACCATTTAGATTTGTGTGAGTATACTCTATGATGTTTGCATAATGACAAAATTGCCTAATGATGCATTTCTCAGAACGTGTCTCTGTTGTTAAGCGATACATGACTGTATACACAGAATTGGGATTACTGGATCATATGGTTGTTATATTTTTAATTGTTTGAGGAACCTCCATACTATTTCCTATAATGGTTGTATAATGTACATTCCCATCAACAGTGTACAAGGATTTCCTTTTCTCCACACTCTTACCAACATTTATCTTCTTGTTGCATTGATCCCTTTACCGTTATATAATGCCCTTCTTTTTTTTTTTTTTTTTTTTTTTGTTTGTTTAAAGTCTGTTTTATCAGAGACTAGGATTGCAAACCCTGCTTTTTTTTGCTTTCCATTTTCTTGGTAAATATTTCTTGATCCCTTTATTTTGAGGCTATGTTTGTCTTTGCATGTGAGATGGGTTTCCTTAATATAGCACACTGATGGGTCTTGACTCTTTATCCAATTTGCTAGTCTGTATCTTTTAATTGGGGCATTTAGCTCATTTGCATTTAAGGTTAATATTGTTATGTGTGATTTGATCCTGTCATTATGTTGCTAGCTGGTTATTTTGCCCAGTAGTTGATGCAGTTTCTTTATAGTGTCAATAGTCCTTCCAATTTGGTATATTTTTGCAGTGGCAAGTACTGGTTTTCCCTTTGCATATTTAGTGCTTCCTTCAGGAGCTCTTGTAAGGCAGGCCTGGTGGTGACAAAATCTCTCAGCATTTGCTTGTCTATAAAGGATTTTATTTCTCCTTTGCTTATGAGGTTTAGTTTTGCTGCATATTAAATTCTAGGTTGAAAATTCTTTCCTTTAAGAATGTTGAATATTGGCCCCTGCTCTCTTCTGGCTTGCAGGTTTTCTGCAGATAGATCTGCTGTGAGTCTGATGGGCTTCCCATTGTGGGTAACCCAACCTTTCTCTCTGGCTGCGCTTAATATTTTTTCCTTCATTTCAACCTTGGTGAATTTGACAATTATGTTTCCTGGGTTTGCTCTTCTCAAACAGTATCTTTGTGATGTTCTGTATTTCCTGAATTTGAGTGTTGGCCTGTGTTGCTAGGCTGGGGAAATTCTCCTGGATAATAGCCTGAAGAGTGTTTTCCAACTTGGTTCCATTCCACCTGTCACTTTCAGGTACACCAATCAAACATAGGTTTGGTCTTTTCACATAGTTCCATATTTCTTGGAGGCTTTGTTCATTCCTTTTTATTCTTTTTTCTCCAATCTTGTCTTCATGCTTTATTTCATTATGTTGATCTTCGATCTCTGATATCCTTTCTTCCACTTGATCGATTTGGCTATTGATACTTGTGTATGCTTTATGAAGTTCTCGTGCTGCATTTTTCAGCTCCATCAGGTCATTTGTGTTCTTCTCTAAACTGGTTATTCTAGTTAGCAATTTCCATAACCTTTTTTCAAGGTTCTTAGCTTCCTTGCATTGGGTTAGAACATGCCCCTTTAGCTCAGAGGAGTTTGATATTACCCACCTTCTGAAGCCTGCTTCTGTCAATTTGTCAACCTCATTCTCTGTCCAGTTTTGTTCCCTTGCTAGTGAGGAGTTGTGATCCTTTGAAGTAGAAGAGGCATTCTGGTTTTTGAAATTTTCAGTCTGTTTGCCCTGGTTTTTCCTCATCTTCATGGATTTATCTACCTTTGGTATTTGATATCAGTGACCTTTGGATGGGGCTTTTGTGTGTACATCCTTTTTGTTGATGTTTATGCTATTCCTTTCTGTTTGTTAGTTTGCCTTCTAACAGTCAGGCCCCTCTGCTGCAGGTCTTCTGGAGTTTGCTGAAAGTCCACTCCAGACCCTGTTTGCTTGGATATCACCAGCAGAGGCTGTAAAACAGCAAAGATTGCTGCCCATTCCTTTCTCTGGAAGCTTCATCCCAGAGAGGCATGCGTCAGATGCCAGGCAGAGCTCTTCTGTATGAGTTGTCTGTTGACCCCTGCTGGGAGGGGTCAGGAGGCACAGGGGTCAGAGATCCACTTGAGGAAGCAGTCTGTCCCTTACCAGAGCTCAGGCACTGTGCTGTGAGATCTGCTGCTCTCTTCAGAGCCAGCCAGTCAGGAAATTTTAAGTCTGTTGAAGCTTCACCCATAGCCACCCCTTCTCCCAGGTGCTCTGTCCCAGAAAGATGGAAGTTTTATTTATAAGCCCCTGACTGGGGCTGATGCCTTTCTTTCAGAGATGCCTTGCTTAGAGAGGAGGAATCTAGAGAGGCAGTCTGGCTACAGCGACTTTGCCCAGGTGTGGTGGGCTCCATGTAGTCTGAACTTCCTGGTGGCTTTGTTTACACTGTGAGGGGAAAACAGTAAACAAAGTTTAAAGTTTGTAAACAAAGTAACTGTTTAAATTTTTTTTTTAAGTGAGGATTTTATTATTAAGCAGTACCTATAATTGGTACTGTAAATTCCACAGGTAAAAATCTTGAGGTGGCTCATAGTGTATGTACTGGTTTTGAATTGCCTTGATTTTAACACCCTGTGGTAGGAATCATTTGATTTCTACTTAGGAGGAGTGCTTTCTGTTTCCCATTTGTAAGAGGATTTAAGAAAAGCATAAACTCAAGTCCTAAAGCAGGCTGAGGCAACCATATCCTTAGAACACCTCTCACCACAGCGTGATTCTTCACATAGCAGGGCTTGCACATGGGCTTGTCATTGACCATCATGTATATTTCCCCAGCTAGGATGCTGTCACAGTCAAAGCAGCAGAAGTGTTTCAGGTGCCAATTCTGGTTTTCTGCCTGGGTATACTCATTGCTGAATATCAGCTCGTCACAGCCAGCACATTGGGGTTTCTCGCTGTCACAGTAATGTCTGCCACAGTATAGCTTCTCATTCTTCCAGAAATAAATCATGTCAACCAGGAGTTCCTGGCAGATGCTGCAGACAAAACAGGCTGGGTGCCACAGTTTATCGTAGCTGGCCCTTTCAGCATAGATGGCGGGGTTGCCTTCCTTCATACTCAGTTTGCAACAATAGCAGGAATATTGAGTACTTTTGTGCTCAGCAGATTTGTCCTCCATGGCCCCTACTCTAGCCTCAGTAATGGTGGACACCCCTCCCCCTACCAAGCTCCAGCATCCCAGGTTGACTTCAGACTGTTGTGCTGGCAGCAAGTATTTCAAGCCAGTAGATCTTAGCTTGCTGGGCTATGCGGGGGTGGGATCTGCTGAGCTAGACCCCTTGGCTCCTTGGCTTCAGCCCTCTTCCCAGGGGAGTGAATGGTTCTGTCTCACTGGCATTCCAGGCACCACTGGGGTTGAAAAAAAACTCCTGCAGCTAGCTTGATGTATGCCCAAATGGCCATCCAGTTTTGTGCTTGAAACCCAGAGCCCTTGTGGTATAGGCAACGGAGGGAATCTCCTGGTCTGCAGGTTGTGAAGACCATGGGAAAAGTGTAGTATCTGGGCTGGAATGCACCACTCTTCTCATGGCAGAGTTCCTTATGACTTCTGTTGCCTAGGGGAGGGAGTTCCCCGACCCCTTGCACTTCTTGAGTGAGGCAACACCCCACCCTGCTTCTGCTTGCCCTTGTGGGCTGCACCCACTCTCTAACCAGTCCCAGTGAGATGAGCTGGGTACCTCAGTTGGAAATGCAGAAATCACCTGCTTTCCACTTTGATCTCTCTGGGAGCTGCAGACTGGAGCGGTTCCTATTTGGCCATCTTGCCAACCACTTCTGTTAATTTTTTTCTACATTTAATTGAGAGATTTTATCAGGAAAGGATGTTGAATTTTGTCAAGTGCTTTTTCTGCCTTTTTTGAAATAATTGTGATTTTTTTATCCTTCATTCTGAATCTGTTAGTATGGTGTATCATGTTTATTGATCTGCATACATTGAACGATCCTTGCATCCCAATTAATGTCTGTTTTTATGACAGTACCATACTGTTTTGATTACTATAGCTTAGTAATGAAGCTTAAAATCAAGATACGTGATACCTCTACCTTTTTCTTTTTACTCAGGATTACTTTGGCTATTTGGGATCTTTTGTGGTTCCATACAGATTTTTGAGTTTAAAAAAGCTTTTCCTATAAAAAATGCTCTTGGAATTTTAATAGGGATTGAATTGAGTTAGTAAATTGTTTTGGGTAGCGTGGATATTTAAAAAACATAATTCTTCAAATATATGAATACTAGATATCTTTCCGTTTGTTTGTATCTTTTTGACTTTCTTTTATTGATGTTTTAGACTGCTTAGTGTACAGATCTTTTACCTTCTCCGTTAAATTTATTCCTAAGTGTATATTTTTTGGTATCTATTATAAATGGGATTGTTTTCCTAATTTAGTTTTTTGGAGAGTGTGTAGAAACACACTGATTTTTGTATATTATGTCTGCATTCTGCAACTTTATTGAAGTTATTATTTATAAGAGTTTTTTTCTGTGGAGTCTTTCAGATTTTCTATATATAAAATTATGCCATCTGCAAACAGAGATGATTTAATTTTTTCCTTTCTTATTTGAATGACTTTTATTTCTTTTTATTGCTTAATTGTTTGGGCTAGTAATTCCAGTATTATGTTGAATAGAAGTGGTGAGAATGGGCATCCTTGTCTTTTTCCTGATATTAGAGGAAAACTTTCAGCTTTTCACCGTTGAGTATAATATTACTTGTGAACTTGTGCTATGGCCTTTATTATGTTGATGTACATTGCTTCTCTATTTAATGGAGAGTTTTTATCAGGCAAGGATGCTGGATTTTGTCAAATGCTTTTTCTACATCTATTGAGATAGTGGTGATTTTTATCCTTCATTCTGCTAATATGGTGTGTTATATTTATTGATCAGTATATGTTGAACAATCCTTGCATCCAGGGATAAATCCTGATTGATCATGCTGTATAATTCTTTTAATATTCTGTTTAATTGGTTTTCTAGTGTTCTGTTGAGAATTTTTGCATCTATGTTCATCAGGAATGTTGACCTGCCATTTTCTTTTTTTGTAGTGTCCTTGTCTGGCTTTGGTATGAGGGTAATGCTGGCCTTGTAATGTAAATATGGAAGTATTCTCTCCCTTCAGTTTTTAAGAAGTGTTTGAGAAGGATTGGAATTCATTCTTTAAATTTTTGGTAGAATTCACCCAGGAAGTCATCTAGTCCTGGGCTTTTCTCTGTTGGGAGGTTTTTGATCAGTACCTCAATCTTCCTACTCACTATTAGTCTATTCAGATATTCTTTTTCTTCATTATTCAGTCTTGGTAGGTTGTCTGTTTCTAAGGATTTATTCATTTCTTCTAGGTTATCCAATTTGTTGGATAGTAGTCTCTTATGATCCTTTGTATTACTATGGTGTCAGTTGTAATGTATCCTTTTTCATTTATTATTTTATTTGTTTGAGTCCTTTCTCTTTGTTTCTGGGTTAGTTTAGCTAAAGATTTGCCAGTTTTGTTTCTTTTCAAAAAACCAACTTTTACAAAACTAACTCTTAGTTTTGTTGATATTTTCAATCATCTTTCTAGTCTCTATTTCATGTATTCTTCCTTTAATCTTTATTGTTTCTTTTCTTATGCTAACTTTGGGCTTAGCTTGTTCTAGATTTTTCTAGTTCCTTAAGATGTAGTGCTAGGTTGTTCGAGATTATTTTTTTTCTTAATGTAGATATTTATCAATGCAAACTTCCCTCTTAGAACTGGTTTTTCTGCTTTCCATAAGTTTTGGAATGTTGTTTCCATTTTTGCCTCAAAATACTTTTTGATTTTCCTTTTGATTTCTTTATTGACACATTGGTTGTTAATGAATGTGTTATGAATTTCAGAGCTTCTTCCTGATATTGATTTTTAATTTTATACCATGTGGTTAGAAAAAATGCTTAATGCAATTTCACTCTTCTTAAATTTGTTAAAACTTGTTTTGTGGCCTAGCATATAATCTATCCTGAAGAAAGTTCTATATGTGCTTGAGAAGAATGCATATTCTGCTGCTGTGGGTGGAATGTTCTCTATATGTCTGTTAGATCCATTTGGCCTATAGTGCTATTCATGTCTTCTCTTTCCTTATTGATTTTCTGTCTGGATGATCTATTAATTGTTGGAAGTGGGGTTCAGAAGCCCCCTAGTATTATTCTATTCCCTTCTATTTCTCCCTTCAGTTCTGTTAATATTTGCTTTATATATTTAGGTGTTCCACTATTTGGTGCATATATATTTACAATTATTATATTCTCTTGATGAAGTTAATGTCTTTATCATTATATAGTGATTAATATTTGTCTCTTGTGACAGATTTTGACCAAAAGTCTATTTTGTCTGAGATAAATAGAGTTAATCTTGCTCTACCTTGGTTATTATTTGCATGGAATATCTTTTTCCATTTCTTCACTTGCAGCCTATGTGTGTCCTTAAAATCTCCTCTAGGCAGCACATTATTGTGTCTTATTTTGTTGTTGTATTCAGCCACACTGTGCTTTTTGGCTGCAGAATTTAATTTGTTTACATTTAAAGTAATTATTTTTAGGTAAGGATTTACTATTGCCATTTTATTAATTGTTGACTGTTTTGTAGTTACTTTTATCCCTTTTCTGTCTTCCTTTGTAGTTTGTTGAATTTTTAGTGACAGGCTTTCATTCCTTTCTGTTTCTCTTTTGTGTCTAATAGAGGTTTTTCTTTGTGGTCGCCATGAGGCTTATATAAAACATATTATAATTATAAAAGTCTTTTTAGGCTGATAACAACCTCAATTGCATATAAAAACTCTATACTTTTACTTTCCCCTCTCCTACCTTTTAGGCTATTACCGTAAAACTTTACATTTTTTTATATAGTATAACCATAAATAATACTTTTGTCTGTCAACCTTTACACTAGAGTTAAAGTGATTTATGCATCACTATTACTATATTAGAGTATTCTGAATTTGACTATGTATTTACCTTTACCAGTGAGTTTTTATACAATTCGTATGTTTTTATGTTGTTACTTAGCTAGCACCCTTTCGTTTCAACTTGAAGAATTCCCTTTATTTTTTTTTTTGTAAGATAAGTCTGGTGGTGATCAACTGTCTCAGCTTCTGTTTGTCTGGGAAAGTCTTTATTTCTCTTTCATTTCTTAAGGACAGTTTTTCCAGGTGTAGTATTATTGGTTGGAAGTTTTTTCCTTTTAGCACTTTGAATATATTATCCTACTCCCTCTTGGCTCCTTCCAGGTCCCACAGTGGATGGTGCTGGTAGGAGGACCAAGGCAAAATTGGGTTGTAACCAAGTCCACAGGGGGATAGGGCTGTATCTGGGTCTGTAGCTGGGGCCATGGTCAATAAACATATCACCTGGGTATAGACCATTCTCAAAGTGGCCCTCCTCAGTATTACAGCTTCCTACCAGGATCCCAAAGCTCCCATAAAGGTACTTTTGTCTGTTGATAGCTGCCAAATTAATGTTCTGTGAGGAGATATGAGCAGGGACCTCATATTCTACCATCTTACTGACATTACTCCTTCTGTTCATTTAAATTTACTTAACAGAGGTAATGACAATGGTACCAACATGAAAATTTTCATGCTCTAATCATACTTTCTATTTAGACAAATTAAAATGGTTAATACTTTAATGAAACAAACTTTTGTTTCATTATTGTTGTCATCATTATCAGCATGACTCAAAGCAATTAATTGTCTGTTTATTTTCCTCACTGGCAGGTATAAGTCACACCAGTCTTTTTAGGTGAACCATTGCATTTCCTGAAGAATAGTAGTAAAAGTCCCTGTTAAAATCTTCATGAAAGCCAACCAGAACTTTATTTATTTATTTTTTTGAGACACAGTCTTGCTGTGTTGCCCAGGTTGGTGTGCAGTGGTGTGATCTTGGCTCACTGCCTCCCAGGTTCAAGTGATTCTTGTGCCTCAGCTTCCTGAGTAGCTGGGACTATAGGCACATACCACCATTCCTGGCTAGTTTTTGTATTTTTAGTAGACAGAGGGTTTGCCTTGTTGGCCGGGCTTGTCTCTAACTCCTGGCCTCAAGTACAGCTAGTGCTCGACTTGATTGGTTCTGACAGACTGGTCGTAACACAATTTGGTCGTAAGTTGAGTAGGCTATATGTACAG